AGGTCCCGATGTGCAAATGTCCATTTATACCCAGTGGCGCTGGAACATTTTTAGCAGAGGGGGTGCTGAAAGCCAGCCCCCTTTCCCCTTTCCACCCCCCTGCCTCCCCGAGCTGGGGCTGGGAGCAGGGCTGTGTCTCCAGGAGAGGGGAGATCCAGACAGGGGTAAGGGGCCAAGGTTGTGACCAGAACTGGGAGTGGGTGTGGAGCCAGGAGCGGAGCTCCAGGCAAAGGCCAGCAATTGAGACCCCATGTGTGGGGCCAGGAGCAGAGCCCCGGGCATGGGGCCGGGTGTGGGGCCCCGGGAGTAGGGGGCCGGGCATGGGGCCTCGGGAGCGGAGGCCTGGGAGCGGTGGGTGGGGCCGGGCACAGGGCCAGAGGCCGGGGAGCAGAGTCCCGGGGGTGGGGCCCTGGGTGCGGGCCCCAGGCACAGGGCCAGCAGCCGGGGAGTGGGGCCAGTGGCCGGGACCCGAGCCCCAGGTGCCAGGTTGGGGAGTGGAGTGCAGGGCCAGCAGCCAGGTAGTGGGGCCGGCGGCCAGGGCCAGTGGCTGGGAAGCGGAGTCTCGGCTGAAGGGCCAGTAGCAGGACCCCGGGCGCGGAGCCAGCGGGTGGGGAGCGGGGCATGGAGCCAGCCTCCGGGACCTGAGCCGGGGAGTGGAGCCCTGGGCGCGGGGCCAGTGGCCCTGCATTTAACCTGGGGGTGCTGCACACTGCGCACCCCTACTTCCTGTGCCTATGTTTATACCTGCAGTACTCTCATTGATTCATAGATTCCAAGGCCAGAAGGAACCACTGTGATCCTCTCATCTGCCCTCCAGTATGACACAGGCCACAGAACTGCCCCATTGTAATTCCTAGAGCAGAGCTTTTAGAAACACATCCAGTCTTGATTTAAAAGTTGTCAGTGATGGAGAATCCAGCATTCGCACTGTTAAAATTGACATACACCTACTTTGTGGTGCTAAGCATCTTTCAAAGGCCTGCCCCTTCACTATCCTCGGGCATCAGGAGATGGGTTCAGAATGGGTTTTGCTGGCCTCAGACAGACACTCTAGCTAAGACTTGCCTTGCAATTGTTAGATGCTGATAGAAAAACGTCACTGATTCTGCAGAACTAAGGACCCACATCTGGCAGCTGCTGAGTACCGCAGTGATTTCAGCTGGAGTTGAGGGTGCTCAGGTCCTCACAGGAAGCACTCAGCACCTTGCAGAATGGGGCCTTAGTGCATAGTCTAGCAAATGTTTTACCATTGTAAGCCCTGTTCTTAGTTGTATTAAAACTGTCATTGATGACAATGGTGCAGGATCAGGCCTTTAGGGTAACAAATAAGGATATATATATATATATATAATACACACACACACACACATCTGTATAGACTTACATATGAAAAAGCAAGCAAAAAGACATGGCAAAAACAATGCTATATAGGAAACAAACGGGTTCTTACCTAGCCCGGCCCTCGCAGACCAGCTGTCTGCTCCAGTCGGATTTTGGTGGGTCTGGCATCACCAATGTCGCCCATACTGGGGCATCACACACAGCAAGAGATGACAAGTCTGAACTATGAGGGGCAGAGTGGGGCAGATCCTTTGATGTTAACTTTGTGCTGAACACTCCTCTGGCGCTGTTTATTTGGAGGCATCCACCAGCTGATTTCCAAGCAGTTGGATTTCCTGACACCTATTTGCAGCCAGCCCACGCGGTGCTTTCCAGGTGGGAGGGATGGAGTAAGGGACGCATTGTATGGAGGATGCCTCACACCCGCTGCCTTTTGGACCGCCTCCAGCCGATGGGTGGCAAAGCACAGGGATCTGGCACAAACCCCTTTTGGAGCATTGCCGACCTGGGAGCATCAAATATAAGGACTCCAGCCCACGACAGATCTCACTTGCTTTTCAGAGTTAATCCCCCCTCCCCTGCATGAATCTGATCACAGTCATTTCCATTCACATGCCCCTAGGTGTGCAAAACTCCAACTGGTGTTACATGCTCATACGAATTCCCGAACTAGGGCCTTCACTATAGGCAGAGCACATAGCAATGCCTAGCACTAAGGTTGCCTTGCTTAAGTATTTCTATTCTAATGGGCTGTTTTCAGTAGCTGAAAAATTTCTCCAGCTTTTACCTTCCAGGCTGATATTTACAGGTCTGCTCTCTGCCAGGGGGTGAATTTTTTTTTAAGATTGAGCAAAAACAGTTCCACTATTTTTGAGTAGGCAGTGGGTGAAAAAGATACATTTTTGGCACAATAAAGAAAATCTGTTGTGATCATTCTTTTCAAATCGCGCTAACCCCGCAGCGGTTTGTGGGTAGAAACTTGAAATCCAGCCCAAAATAGTCTCTAAATTGGACATACTAATAATAGAAGGGATCATACCTAGCTCCTAGATAGTGCTTTTCATTAGTAGCTCTCCGAGCACTTTACAAAGGAAGGCAGAATCATTGTACCCATGAAGAAACTGAGGCATGGGTAGGCTTGTTCCTTGTAAAGACCATTGGAAATCTTTTTTGGATTTAGCTGAGCTATCATCGCTCAGAGTGGATTTTCAAAGGAGCCTAATGGAGTCAGAAGAACATACATTTTTTAATTCACAGGAAAGGGTTCCTCCACTAGCACCACCCCACTGTTCTAGTGACACTGCACATGCATGTGGGGCGGGGGTGGAGTGGAATTTCTCTTTCGGCATGTAGGTCCCGTATGGAATCTGATCTCGAGGATGCGCCGAGGCAGAGCTCCTAGCTTGGGAGGGCGTGCCTCGTTGCAACATTTATTTGTATCCCCACTGTCCAACATGGTGCCTGCTATTTCGTTTACTACATGGCATCCGATTTGTGCAGTGAATGAGGCAGGGGTCCCCCAGAAAACAATAGCATGTGATCATAGGGGCAGGGCTACATAAGGAGGCCCGTTCTGTCTATCTTAGGTAGTTACATGGCCCCATTACCTTGATAATGGACTTGTCTTCACATCACCCCTGTGAGATAGGACCAGTCTATTACCCCTATTTTACAGAGGGAGAACTGAGGCACAGAGAGACTAAATGACTTGCCCAAGATCACACAGAAAGCCTGTGGTGGAGTGGGGAATTGAACCCTAAATCCTAGGTGTGCACCCTAACCACTGGACCATGCTTCCTCTGTCAATGCCTGCTTTTTCCATGTTCTGGCAGAGCACAATGGCTAAGGTCAATAAGATTAGCACTTAAGGTAGAGAGCAGTTTATCATGTCTTGCTTGGTGGTGGTTATGCTTTAGTTTGGTTACTTCCTTGTATTTCCCTATTGCATAGCAGAGGAATTCACATGGTCTAATAAGCCCTTGCTCTGTGATCTTTCGGCAGATGTTGTTGTTTGTTTATGTAACTTTCTGCCTGTGGTTTGCATCTCCTCTGCTTGTGATTCAGTGCCTGGGACATGGAACACATGAATTTGCCCGGCAAAGAGAGTGAATCCAAGTGTGATAGACAGTAGAGTCCAAGGCAGGGCTCCTAAACACTCTGATACCTCACCCTTCAGAGACTTTATAATGGTCTGAAAATGTTCATTGCTACAACATAGGGGCAAAATACTCCTCTCTGACCCATACAGTGGAAATGTACTTCTTATTTTCTTTACAGTAACACCTAGAAGACCCACTGTGCTAGGTGCTGTACATACATTTAGTATGTCTCTGCCCCAAAGAGTTTACCGTCTAAATGGATGAGACACTGGAGGTGATATTATCCCCATTTTACAGATGGGGAGCTGAAGCACAAAGACTTTTAAGTGACTTGCTCAAGGTCATATAAGAAGTCTGGGGTAGATCCAGGAATTGACCTCAGATCTCCCAAGGACTAGCCCTATACATTAGCCACAATATTATCCTTCCTCTCCAGATTACTTAGGTCCACTCTACCTAAATGAGCAGGAATCCATGGATATTTTCTCCCATACATGCTGGGAGAGCAGAAAATCAAAGCTGAGATTCTTCAGTGCAGCTCTGAAAGCAGAATTTCACCCTAGGAAAGCAAATCCTTCATTTCATCACAAGTCTTAGCAAAATAAAATAAAAAGAAATTACAGTTTTAATAAAGGGACGGGAATATTTATACTGTAAAAATGAATAAAAACAACTGGCAGAACACTCTCTTCACGGTGGCTTAAAATACGCTATGTACAGTAAAATAATTATGACCCAATCCTGCTTCCCTTTAAGTGAGTGGGAGTTTGCCATTGATTTCAATGGGAACATGACTGGGCACATTGTTAAAATGTCGAATGGAATTGTTGCACTGTAGAAGGGTGTCTGGTGGCACCTTAAAGACTAACAGATTTATTTGGGCATAAGCTTTCGTG